TGTGCGAGCCCCAGACAAGAGATGGCTCAGGCTGCATAGAGAGCTGATCAGGGACAAATGCACATGAAAAACCTGCTGGATAGGCCCTACACAGGCACTTTATGCAGCACGTGCCCCGTGAAGGCTCCATACCAGGGCTGATACACACTGCTAGTCTGAGCATATATTGTATCAGACTGGCCATGTGCACTGGCTCTGGAGAGTGGGGCTGGTCTGTGGGCCTGATCCAGACCAGCCCCAGAGCCAGCATGCAGGGCCAGTCAGGCAAGGCCCAGCATACAGTGCACACCCCAAATCAGTTCTCTATGCCACATGTACACATGCATCCAGTCCAGTCCTACATGCTTCGTGAGTTTGAAGCCTGTGGTCCAGAAAACTGTGGTTCCCCCATTAAGAATAAATTTTGGGAACGAACATTTGAAGACTAAAAGCTTGATTTAGGTGCAACCCCAGTATCATTTTCTGCAAAACAAATATGGAAAGATCTGCCTGCTTCCATGAATGTGACTGGGCTATGAGAGAGAAAACACAACACTGATTTAGCATACAACTCATTACTTTGATATCATTTCAAATAAACACACCATCTTTAGCAACAGGGAAGAAAAGAGAACAAATTTAAAGGACTGAAAAGTCAAGCCAATTAATGTAAACAGCACCAGATCTGTCCAATATAGTGACAATGTAGTAGAAGACTGCTGAAACATCCTGATGACGATGGACAAGTAAAAGCTGGACCTGATCAAGAACAAACATGCTGAACCTGAAGAAGCACACAGAGGGAACATTTGACAACCCTTGAAGAGACAAAAATCACTGTAAGTGTCTGTTTTGAAATGCTTATATGAAGGAGTTAGCCACTTACTAAATTGTTGGTCAAAGCTGGACTCTCCAGTTCATAAGAGGTGGTCTGAAACAAACTCACTTCAACAGTCAGTAAAAAAAAGGGAGGTCAATTCAGGTCTTCTGCATCTGAACTAATTTTGGCTGCCAATGATGGGTAGTTCATACTTTGATTAATGCAATCTGTTACCTTCAGGAGCCTTATTCCCTGCTTGACTCACACCTTAGAAATTTTCTTCAGGAGGACAAATTAGAAAAGTTTCTCTCCTAGGAAATATCACTACCTACAGTAAAAAGATATGCTTTGGAATACATCATCTAGGAAAGTCAATATGTAAGTGCCTGCATACCAAACTTTCTAATATTGCATGGCACCCCTATAAAGGACCTCGTGGACCCCCAACTGACAATCACTGACCTAGGGCATTTCCCACTAGGCATCTATCTGCATCTTCAGTCACTCTTGAAAAGCTGGTCTGTGGTGAGCAGAAACAAGAAACAAAAGTAAACAAACAAATCAATCCACTAACTACAACTTTATTCTCCGTTTTAAAATGAAAAAAGCCTGAATACATTTTCCTTAGGTACTCAGTATTTTATTATATTAAATCATTTTAAATGCTCTTTATGTGCATTTTTATTTGAATTCCAAACTCTATCCAAATGAAGTTTGATACACATCACAAAGCAAAAATCTGTGCAGTATAGAAAATCATCATTCACAATATACAAATAATAAACAAGATTAAAATCAACCCAGCCTGGAAGAAGGAGAAGTTTCTCTAGGTCTAGATTCTTAAGTAAAAGCTGCAAATTTTGATGTGCCACAGAACAGGAAATAGGTAATAAGTGAAAGAGGTCCATTCTTTAAAACAGTTTCTTTCAACCATGGAGCCACAGCACCCTGGGGTACCTGGCAATCCTTTCAAGGGTGGGGTGGGGTGGGGTGCCACACAATAGGTGCACAAACAATTCACAACATAAGCCAGAGATTTGAAATGGAAGTCCATGATGTCAAAATCATTCTGACATTAGTCTTCATGATTTCTTTGTAGCAAACTAACTGCTCTATTATCCTTCTGTAGCCAAAAAACAAGTGAAAGCTAAGAGTTGGCATTTCCCAAAGGGTGCCTCAAGTCTAATAAGGTTGAGAACCACTGCTTTAAAAAGATCTGTCATTTCTGATGCTGCTATAGTCACCTCTGAACCGAGTCCAAAACCTTGAGGATACCAAACAGATTCAGCTACTGGAAGAAAAAAGTCCCAAAGAGCTAAAAAAAGACTGAAAAGGTATAAAAAGTCCCCCTTTCAACCAAGTTCTTCAAACAAGTCAATGCTTCTAACTTAAAGCACTATATTTTTAGTCTGGAGTGATTTCTGACAGTTAAGGCCAAAGACTTGAAGTGCTATACAAAGCTTAAAACAAGCTTACTCAGACTATACACATCAACTGCCAGTTCCTTCACTGCCTGTTCAGTGTCAGGGAAGTAGAGAATAAGACTATATTCTGTTCAAAAATCAAACTAGTAGAATATGACTGATGACCCAATGACTGGCTGCAGATGTTGAGTATATACAAGTAGACTTTCCTTCCCCAATAACATCGTGGCTACTTGCAGATGTAATAAAACAAAACCAACTAAAACAAAAAAGGCGCTTTACTTTAAACTCAGCACGTCCCTATGCCAAGCCTAGCACATGCTCAGAAGAGGCATCACATTAGTTGGACCTTGCTTACTCAATGTCTGTATAGATCAGGTGCTTCAGCAGAGATTTTCTGGTGCTTTTATCTAATAGCTAATTGAATCAGCTATTAGATAAAAGGGCCAAAAAGCCCAACTGAAGTGTGTGATCTTTACAGATGCTGTGGAGCCAGATGGAACTAATGTGATGCCTCTTCTGGTAAAGTGCAGTTTTTTTGGGGGAGGGTTTCACATCTGCCAGTGCCCCTTGTTAGCATGCTTGTCCAATAAGAAGCCTCACCATTTCTTAGAAGTCTTTTTTTTTTTTTTTTT